ATGACTCATTAGTGAGAAATTGTTTAAAAATGTAAAAATACAGTTGCTGAAATCTTTTTATGGATCCTTGAACTCATGATCACATAGGGATCATTGACAGAGATAATTTTGAGCTTGCCCTGAGATCTCAGAGCATACATGATTTTTGTTTGGTTGTGACTGTGTTGTTATTTCCAATGACAATAGAAAAAAGGGCTTGTTAAGTTATGATCTTCTTGTAAAATTCACAGTTACTGTTAAATTCAGACTCTGTATTCTGTAGCTGTGACAATATCTTAGAAGCACCAAAATGCTGCAGTGCTGAAGAGCTAGATGTTGAACTTCTATGGGTCTTACTACACAGAAACAATTAATTAAAACAGTTTAATAGAAATACCTACCCTTTTTTTTTTGCAACTATACTGTTTTCTCTTCATTCATCTAAGAATCAAACCAAATACCTTGTTTTGTGAAGAATAAAACCACACAAACTCAGTAAAAACAATTTTAATTTTACTCTGAGTATATTCCACATAAAAAGTACTGCAGCTTCACTTTTTCCAATGAAAAATTTACTTGTCTAATACTTAGACAAGTATTCCTGAATTCCATTCTTTAGACCAATTGGATCAATATTTATTTCCAGATCCACAGAGATCATCAGTGCAACTCTATACTGGTTTTACCTGGTACAGAGATTATGTTTTTCATAGCAGGTCATTTATGGCACTACATTTTGGATTTGTAGGCATTCATTGTGATCCTTGGGTCAAGTGAGTTTCTAATGAATCTTATGATATCATAACTGCCAGACTGGTCACAGAATTCCAGTTCTTCCTTCTTGTTGCCTAAATTGTGTGAATAGGTCCAGGTGCATTTGGGGTGGTTAGACTGATGCTTCTTGTCTTTGGAAGGGGTTGGAGAGCAGTCCTCAATACTCTGACACATTTGATCATCCTCTGTGTTTTTTTATGAATATGTAGAAGACACAGCTTTGGATTCTACATCCCAAATTCATTTGTTTAGACTACAATTCATTGTCTGGTATTGATCTGCATGAGGCCCCTCTCTCGATGCCCTTATCTCTGACTAATGAGAAAGGGGATTCAAAAAAGTTTGAAGGAATTTTTCATCTTCAGTTAATTTATTTTGAACTTGTATGAAATGACATTTCACAATCTCCAGAACGACTTTGTTTTAACTTTATTCAATAAAAGATGGATGCAATAAAATCATAATGTGGTTTTGGACTCATGGTCAAGACTAATTTGACCCAACAGCTATTTAATGTGCTTAGCATCAGAATCTTGTGTGATGGAATCAGTAAATATTCATGAATACAGAGACAGCTATAATTAAAAACAAGCAAGAATATACACCCACAAGTCTCTTCTTTGAGAAAAAAAAATAGCCCTGCAGCCCTTTCACTAATGAGCCTAATTTTTCCTACAAAATTATTTCACTTTACTGAAGTTCAATGAAAATAAGGGTTAGGCCACCATAGTTACTGTAGTTTTTCCTTAATGAATAGAACCTAAAGTGCCATAGTTAGGACCTTAGTTAGTTAAACATTAATCTCTTCATTTACTGTATGAATAACTTAATTACAGAACTAGTTTTAGAGTAATTTATCATTTATGGATTATGAAATAAAAATAAATCTGTTTAATCATAATTTAATCAAACAAGCAATTCATCAATTAATTCAACATATCACACCTACTCCACAGCTTGCTAATTAGTACTTTAAAATTCTCAGTTCAGAGTAAAATAATACCTTCACTGATACCTTAGAGTCAAACATCAATATCTATCTCTAGGTATTGACAAACTGATTGTATTTCACAGTTAAGATGAAAAAGCTTTTCAGATACCATTAGGATGCTATTTTCTTCTTAAAGAAATTAGTCAGAGGTGCAAAATTCTTTTTATGTTTTTATTTTCCTTGTTTTAATTTCTCATTAACACCTTAAACCAAATAATCATCTCCTTCTGTAGCTAATGTTTGCAGTGATTTCTTCCTCATGAAATAAACCATATCCCAAGAAGTCCAAAGAAAGGTTTGGAGATTACAACTTGAAATAGTTATTCATATTCTACAAAGCCATAAGCTCACTTTTTTGATTACAACTTAACATTAACTTTCCTCTTAGAAAGAATATTTAGTCACATTTCGCAGTCTCCTGGTTTACATTCTGCTGGTTGAAGTGATATGTTTCAAATGAACAAAAATTAAAAAAAAAAGGAAATTAAAAAGCTATTTAGAAAATGGTCAGAAGAAAAATATTCTGATGTATTAATTAAGTTCTTCCTGGGACATAAGGTATTCTAATAAAGCCCCACTATCAGTTTTGGTATGTACATTAATATGTGCTATCAAGATGTATAAAGGAGTTCTTATTTTCATCATTAAATTATGAGAACAAAGTATAATTCCATTTTCATATAGTTGCATTATTACTAAGCACTTAATAGTAACATATTTATCAATAAATAATTTAATTCCTAAAGCAAAATAATTTTCATTGCTTTATTTTATTCCATTCAGTCATCCTCGTATGCATTTTGCAAATGTATTATTTGAAGGTGATGTCACAAAGGCTGAGGCAATAACAAAACAAAGTAATAAAGTTTAATTGATCTACTGCTTTGCTGATAGGAGTTGAAAAACTATGTTTTTCAAAGTGCATTTGCCTTAAATCTTTCTGTTTCAGTAAGCTGAAAGAACTTGTTTATCTTTTTCTGGATAAAGGAGATGAGTGGTAGATCATGTTGTGTGTGTGTGTGAGTAAATAAAGAGAAGGGGCAAATTAACAGGCACACTAATACAAGTTCAAATAGATTAGAAATGCCCTCAACTGGCATTTTCTGTTAAAAATTTGGTAAGATACTGAAGACTCTACTGCTAACTAGTTCTCTTTTTCTTTAGAACTGTTATTGTCAGACCTTAATTGGAAGTACTGACTTAATAAGGAAAACATTAATCTGCATTTCATATAGAAAATGAACTGCTCTATATCAAAACTTCCTGGGAGAAAAGAAATTGAGATGATATGAATATACATTTTCCTTCATTAATTATTCAAAGAAGGTCAAATTCAAACCTTAAGTAAATATTGATGTAAGCAGAGTTGCACTTCCTTAACATTAATATGAAAGTATGCCCCATTTGCCCCTTGCAAAGACTACAATTAACATAAAAATATCAACAAATTGAAAAGAAGGTATAAGTCTACTTTATTTCTTGCTAAAAGATGAATAAATGCTATACCCTGTTTAACAGTATTTGTGGTTCTACTGAGCTTTGATGACCTACTGTTTTCCATGCTACAGATCCATCATTGAAAAGCCATGGATCTTAACAACCAGCCTGTTCAACAGGAAAGTCAAACTTGTGCAAGCTATTGCTTAATAGCTCAGGTTAACCCGGATGGCAACCAAGCACTACAAGTCATCTTTCCTTTGCAAGACAGGTCAGGGGTGCAAAAATACATTGAAGAAAATTTTTGATTATGAGCCTTCCATAAAGTCTACTGCTGTGACTCTGACTCTGTTTTTTCCTTTTGGTGCTTGGTTGGATATTTTTTCTCCTAGATTCCTTACTGATTCCAGATAAGCACCTAGGTAGCCGTTCTTACAGGTACCTTACAAGGTTTAAAGCAATGGATAAAATACACAAATTAAAGTTGGTTTCTATCATACCAAGAGCAAACCTACAAAACTCAAAATTTAAGAAACAATACGTTCAAAATCAAGAATAAAAAAAAAAAAATTTTCAGGATCAAGAAATATTTAGTATTGCTACTTTTCTGTCTTTCCAGTTTCTAGATCCTCTGCTACCTAATATTTGACTCCTCTAAAATATGGCAGTCATTTAGTTTTTTAATCCATCTGGTACTGCTCACTATAACTGAGGAACAGTAATGCTGTTGTTTTATTAGTAGAGCCTGTACTACTAAAGGTGCCTGCATCATCATTTATTCTCATTAGCTCCTTCTTGTTTCCAGAATAACCTGCAAGCACTTTGTCAATGGGCAGGAGTCAATGGGCTCTATCCTCACTAAAACTTCTAGCCTGTTTCTGGAAGGGTTGCTTTCCCTTACTGTGGCTGCTTCCTCCCCACAGCTTTTAGATGGCTGTCATCTTGTTTACCTCAGCACCTGATCAACCTCATAAAAACACTGAAAATAAAAGACTGATATGCTCCTTGTGGTTTCCATTTCTTTTCCATTACAGTGAAGTGTTCTATTTGTTTTTTAATTATGTTGTAAGCACTCTTCGGCAGAGATGACGTTTTATTTTGCCAAACCTGTTGGTTCAAATTGCCCTTAGTGCCTTATATGGTGACACAACTACTGTTATAATAAGGTAGAGTGATGGGGTCTGGGATGCTCCTTGACACTGGCAGATACTCTTTTTGATGTGGTAATTTTCTACTTGGCATTTTCACCATGGTTTTTCATGATAGTATTAGGAGATAATATTTTAACTAAAAGATAAAGAAGCCATCCACATATCAGTGGAAACTGTAGCTATGTTCCAAATGAAACATAAAGAATGAATTCTTGGTACATTTTCATATTGGTAAAATTAACTTCACATATCCAATATGTTCAAAACTCTCCATAATTGGTATCATTTTTTATTAATAGAGACTGGTTGTGTTTCTGAAGTACTTCTTCAGCTTCTCATAAATACTAAAGTATCATTTAGATTCCAGTGCTCTTGCAATTTAGCCTTGGCAACTCAGGAGTGTTACGAACTAGTTTAAACACAGAAGAGTAAAGCAAACTAAGTATCTCTGAATAAAATAGATTGGACTCAGAAAGGTTCGAAATATACCCAAAAAAAACATGCTTAAAGCAAAGCAAGGTTAGATGTCGATGCCAAAAACTTGATCTACTTTATTTAATAGTAAAAGAGGTAAAGAGAAAGACAGAAAAAAGAAAGAAAGAGTTGTGTATGGAACACAGAGGTTAAAATGCCACTCGGTATTTTTTGTCGTGTTCTTTTTTTTAAAGATGCCCAGAGAACACTGATAAGAAAATGTGACTCCTGGCAGAGTACCCAAGTCAACACACTGGATTGAAGTAGGTAGAAATTCCTCTTCTGTAACTTAAAGGCAGATGTTTTTCTTCAATAGAAATAAACCTCTGTGCTCAGGATCCCAAAACAAGGTCAAGCACAGTTATTCAAACATGTGTATTGAATACAGAATATTGAATACATCTTTTTGCTGTCAGTATAGAAATGATACACCATTGCTCTGAATGTAAGTTATCAGGAGGTATCTCATCCTTCCATGGATCTGGAAACCATACTTTGCTATAATGTGCCTGAAGCCAAGTACTAAATGTTCAGCCAAATGTTTTGGATCCCATTCAGATTTTAATTGCAGGCAACAAATGAAATACTACTTGCAATTAATTATACTTGTTTCCATTTTGGATGTACACCTCAAGCCTATATGATTCAGGCAATGTTTATATCTCTAATTGGATCAAAGTCTGCTTAAAATCTTTCCATTTGTTATGTTGTACTTTTAATTCTATGGCATAGAAGAGGTAATTTTTGCCAATGAAATTAGCAGCTACACTTCAGAAGTACACTTCAGAATAAAAAAATATAACAGGTCACCTATAAACTATAATTTCTGTGTCTTGAAAAGGAATTTATATAATAAGCAAATGTTAAAAATGTTACCTCAAATAAATTTATTTTCTATGAATTATAAAAATCTTCCCACTGTAGAAAACATTTTCTGAAAAGTCTTTCATTCATTTTTATTCACACTTAAAAAATTAGGTGTGCCATTGGATTACATTTTGTTAGGTATAAAAATAGGGGTAACGTAAGTGAAATGAATTTTAGCTATGCAAAAAATATAGATAAAGGAATTTTTTCAAAATCAATTAAGTTCATAATAGATAATGGTTTTGCAGCTTTTAGTGTCAGAGGCTTTGGAAGCTACAAAAGACTGAATTTCAAATAACTTCCAAATTAAAACCCTACAGAAACTGGAGAACCATGTAGCCCAAGCATTAAACCAGGATGGAAGTCTTTATTCTCACTGAAATTAAATGGAGGTTTTGATGCTAATTTTATTGGATACATTACTTCATGCTTGATAGGTTAAACCTTCAGACATCCAAGCAAATATTGAGAAAAAGATTGTGACTTTGCTCTCTGATGATGAACTTTGTAGGTAAGAAGTTCATATGGACTGTTTTTTCTATCTCCTAATGAGAGACAATTAGTCAGCTGAAGTTCACACTTCATTAAAAGGCTTACCAACTGCATCTTGTGCTTTGAGTCTTAAATGGAAACAACTGGGTAATTTTGCAGTATTTGCAAGAAAGTCATGCAAGAGAAGTTCTTGTGGCTCTTTCCTCTTACAGTCCTCTGTAAAAGCAGCCCAAGACTAAAAAAAAATAACAAAAATTGAAATAATGCTACTTTTAATACTGCTGAAAAGAATTCAGAAAGTGGACGTACAAACAAGATTCTGTCCTTCTGTCTGCTCTACAAAATGCCTTCCTTCTGCCTGCAAAGTTTGGAAATACAAATATTGCCTTTCAAAATATAATTTACTCCTGTGTCAGTAGCTGCAGAGGCATGTAAGGCCTGAGAATTTCAGAAAAGGTCATAGTTGTGCTTCTTGGGGTTAGGATGATTTAAATGACAATTTCCAGGATAATTAATGTCTTTCTGCTGAGAAGGACTTGAGAATGCTGGTGGAGTTGAAGCTGGACATGAACCAGCACTGTGCATCTGCAACCCAGAAAGCCAAACGTGTCCTGGGCTGCATCCAAAGCAATGTGGGCAGCAGGGACAGGGAGGGGATTCTGAGACTCCACCTGCAGTCCTGCATCCAGCTCTTGTCTCCTCAGCACAACAACACAGACCTCTTGGAGTGAGTTCAGAGGAGGCCACCAAGTTCATCACAGGCCTGGAGCACCTCTGATACGAGGAAAGGCTAAGAAAGTTAGAGTTGGGTTTTTCAGCCTGGAGAAGAGAAGGCTCTGGGGTGACTTTACTGCAGCCTATAAGAAGGCTGGAGTGAGACTTTTTACAAAAGTATGCATTGATATGACAAGGGGAGATGACTTTAAACTGAGAGTAGGTATAGATTAGATATTAGGAAGAAATTCTTTACTGTGAGATAGGTGAGCCAGTGGGACAATGAAATTGTGGATGCCCCATTCCTGAAGTGTTCAAGTAGAGGTTGGATGGGGCCATGAATAACCTAGTCTAGTAGAAATTGTCCCTTCCCATGGTGGGGGGATGTAAAACTACATGATCTTCTAGATCCCTTCCAACCCAAATCATTCTTTGATTCTATGATTCTGTTTTTTGTAGTTCATTGTCAAAAAGTTACAACTGTTTTGAAAGAACAAGGCATAGCTGTACACAATTCCTTGCTCTCCTACATCCCAATGAGTATTTTATGCCCTTTCAATGAGAAAAAACACTTTCCTTTTACACTAATGATAAGCAGACATTTGATGTACATGTGTAGTACAGAGATGAAATTTACTTTTTTTCACTCTATCCATTAATTCCATAACCTTTAGAGTGTGAATATTACCCAGGCACCCTGGGCAGAATAGGACTGCTTCATTTACTTGGAATCCAGATGACTGTTTAATTTAGCATTGCATAGCTAAGAGCAAGCTTTAAGCAGCATTGAAATTGCCAGTCTGTTTCTCTGTTGCTTTCTTTTCAAAGCCACAGGTAAAACTATGAATGATATATGGGAAAAAGTAAACCATCTTCGTGGAAATTAGTGTGTCGTTTCAGATATGCATTTCAATAATGCTGGGTTCCCCTTTGCATTGTGCATTGTAAGTAATTTCTTGGGGACAATGATTAGACAGCCATAACACTTTGTGACAATTTGTAATTCTTTGAGTTGCAAATTTTTGAAAAGGATATTGATCTTATACATTTCTAAGAACTAACTAGGGAGCAGAATATTCTTGCATTTGAAGAAAAATTGCAAGAAAAAAAATTACTTTCCCCCCCCCTAGTTAATTTTTCACTTAATACTGAAACAATTAGTCCACATTGGTACCAACTGGAATTGGTTAGGGTTACATTTATTCTTTTTATTGGAATATGCTCTAACAGAGACCTGCTATTTCAGGCATTTATTGTACCTCTTTTAACATTTCTCTATGATTCTCTATTTTGATCCAGATGGGGCCCAGTGGGGTAGATTAAAATCCTTAAGAGGTAATGTACAATTAGGTTGACAAAGGAGCCCTATAAATTGTCTTGTATGAAAAGGGCAGGAAAGGGCACTATTTCCTATTGAACCTTTATCACTTGGTATAAGTCATTAAATACTAATTAGGATGAGGACATTAAGAATAATACACTGTGACTGCTGTAATTCAGAGAGTAAGTGACTTCTTACCTTAAATTAAGAAATCCAGAGGACATTCCAGTTCTGCTTTGCAGCAGTATATTCCAGTTGATGGCAAGTCCAATTATTTTAGATAATCATATCTCAGCAGAAAATTCTGCAGCAGACCTTCACATGTGTGCACACATATAAAAAGGTTCTAAGACAAAAGTACAGTACAAAGCAAGAACAGTACAGGCTATTTATGTAGGGGTAATTCTGGAGAAGGCAAGAGTATTAATTGTGATACATAGGAAAACAGGAAACCACACACTTAAATAGCTAATTATTCACAGTAGACTACTCTTTAAACTTTTTCTTACCAGCATCTGACTGTATCTTGTAAAATAAGAGGTGCCCATGTCTTCTTCAGCCTTTGAAGAAGAACAGAGACTTAGTGCTGAAGTTTGGGGTAGATCTCAGTAGTTTGTTCTCTATTAATGGTTCTGATGAAGAACTGAGTATTTTCATACTGTTGTGTTATTGGAATACAGTTCCATACTTTTAAGTGTACAAATAAAATTTCTTATTCTGATGTTATGGAATGTCAAGGATTTTTGTAATTTAACTGAAAGATTTCATTACATTATTTTGACTCAAAGAAAACAGCTGTGATGCAGTAGAAATTAAAACCTGAGACCTGCATGTCTTTACAAAATTCTTACTGGTTTTGATTTATTTTTTCCTAGAATCAAATAAAATTTGGTGAATTATTTAGTTCATCCAGAAGTTTGGTACACAAATTCTGCAACAATCTCTCTATCTGCCATGTGGTTAACTACTGTATCACAGATTTTCTCCATAACTCAGATGAGGTCAGCTTTGCAACATCTCTTGCTTTGTCAAAAATGGACATGACATTTTTCATAAAGACCTGCCAGTTCATAGACTTGTTCCAGGTTAGCTGGAAGAACATTAAAAAAAAAATTACACTAAGCACACAGTTATGACCATATTTTTAATCTCTAGTATTTTGTATGGTATATCCTTCATTCCCAACTCCTTTACCCTCTTCTCCTCTCTCTGAGCAGTGCAGAAGGATGAAGAAAAAGAGCCTGTGGTCATTCTGTAGCAGATTTTAAACCCCATGTGGCTGTTTTTGATATAAGATATTTTGTCAAGTTGCCACAAAACCGTGAAAAAAAAATTGAGAATAAATCCATATTCCTTGAAAGGTTATAAGTGGAAGATTTTGGTAGTTCCTATTATCACCTTTGAACCACAGTTCACCAGATTATTCATTATGCAGTGAGATTTTCATGTTTGAAAAGACAGCACTGAGTACTGAAATATTTGTGTTTGCTACACTTCATATACATTCTTATAGACAGGAGCACGCAAAACAATCTTGAGGGAAAAATAGCAGGTCACACATATTACTTGATATCAGAAACATGCTTGAGATAGCTGTAGGATACTGCTGCTGAACATCTTACAAGAGAGTAAGATGTGACACTTCATGAGAACAGGACTTTGAAGTTATGTCACTCCATAATGTGACAGTGGTCAGGAACATTCTCATCAGAGACTTTTTGACATCACAATATGCAACTTACATGAGATGCATTAACAGGCTGAATGCTCAATCTGCCCATTAACATATTAAAAATAGTAATACAGATACTAAAGACTATTATAAATTCTGGTGAAATAAAGTTTGCACTGAATGGCAGTTCCTAAAGTTACCTTGAATCTAGAAGTAACCTTGGAAATTCTTCAGGAAATAAAGGATGAGTACTGATAGATTATCCAATTGTTATCAAATTTATTTAACCCTTACCAGAATATGCCATTAGTAGTCTTGAACTCTCTCTATCATACCAAAGTTCCTTAAACTACAACATTGACTTGATATTAAAATCCCTAGACAATAGTTTTTGACTCATCTAATTGTTGTTTCCTAATTATCTTTGTCGTTAATATTAGATGTTGTTGTTATTATCAGTGAAATACATTAGATTCTCATTCCTTGGCCCAACATCTCCTCTCTGACAGCAGAGGAAAACTTTGTCATATCTATAAAACCAGGAGGTCTGCTAAGAAAAATGAATGCTGCAAATAAAGTAAACACATATGTTTTTTTAAAAATCAATAAAAAATTCCTGGACATCTCATCCCAAATCTTCGGTTGTCTTCACATTGTTCATGCTCATTCTCTATCAACTGTCGTTTTGATTGCCCAGAGAAAAACTTTCCTGTTGCTCACTACATCAGATTCAGATACAAAAAACCTGCTATTCCCTAAAATTGGGGAAAAAAACATCAATATCATCGCAAGAAAAATATATATTAACTGTTTGGGATATTTGCTACAAAGATACTTTTCTTTGGAAGCTGAGTGTATTATATTGGAAAGATGTTGTAGTATATTATTTACCTTGAGAGAGATAAAAAAGTGAAACCTTTGCCTTTAAATTCACTATTGCCTTTCAATGTCTATTATAAGCTCTGATATCAACTGCAAAATTCTAGCACATATTGCTTCCAAATATATATATTTATATATATATATATCACTATTCTGGAAAATGCTTGTCTTTAGATATAAGTGAAGATTCTAATTAAGATGGTCTTCTCTACACAAAAATATCTTAGACAATTTCCTACTTCAAAAATGTCTTTGTAAGCTTCTGCCTGCCCAGAAGTGCAAAAGCTGATATTTGTTTTCTGGTAGCAGACAAAGGAGTCATGGGTTTTTGTTGAGCAGAGGAGAATCATTAAAATTGCAACAGAAAAGCCACACAAAAAAAATCTCTAATGGGACATATGTTTATAGATTCAGTGTTCATTCAAATTTTGCATCTCTGTTGCAGGATCCTTAAGAGACTATTTCTACAGTGAAGACCTCTTCCTAGAGCCTAATTCTTATCAACTGTGATGACTATTTATGATTTGTTTCTGGATATTCCCTCATGAAAGGCACAGCTGGGAATAAAGCTATTGTAAGCCTGTAGCTCAAGAAATGTTATTACTGTCATTGAAATTGTCAATACAAAGGAATTGGGGAGAAAAAGTCAGCAACTGAGACACCAGCAAAAACCAGGGTCTTCAAACAAGCATATATTTGTTCCATTTAATTAATATCTAATCTCTCTTTAACAACTGTGAATCAAATATTAAGAACATATACTAATGAATCAGTAAGTATTTGATAGATTTGTGGTTCTGATATCTGCAGTCTTTGTTGACTCTTATTTTCCAAGATCAGGAGAGCCGTACTCTGGGAGCCAGGCTGAATGAAGCTAAAAGCAAAGAGATTATCTTCTCTGGGACCCAAAGTACAGTGTGTATCACCAGTATCTATAAACAATTCTCTGTAGGTCAAGATCTGCCTAGCATGAAGAATGACTTGTTGCTTTCATAGGTTAGAAAATCAGATGGCTCTAATTTCTGGGATCTGGGTATTATCAGCTCATTCAGGTGTGTATTTGCATCTGGGTGCTGGTCACTTGACTCCCTTTTAGAGCTACAAGATGAATACTACTATCTTATGTGA